ATTACGAGGCATATTGTCTGGGATATTACTCCCAAGTGCAACCTTTACAAAAGATGAACATACATGTAGCTCTTTTCCTTCATTTATATGACAACAATTTTTTGAATTCACCCATTGGATTTGATTTGATTTCTATTTATATCACACAAATAATACATGTTTTTTGCTCGTGCATTAGTGATGCACTGCACTTGGTTAAGTGACAATGAGACGGACAATGAACTCGACAAGATTTGTTCATTATCCTACTGTGACGTAAACTGCAAGCAGTGCATATTCACTATTAAATGCACTTGCAAACATGTATTATTATTTTTATACTAACGCACATTGTATGACAAGTAGGATATTAGTGCTAAGTCAGAGGATCAAATGTTCTTGAAGTTATTCCTCTAAAAGCCCTCATATGTTACATTACTTGGAATTACATTTGGAAATCCAATTCCCCTTGAAAAATAGTTTGCCTGTGTGCCTCTGATCGTACGAAATTATGAAATCATTTATAACCTTCACCTTGTCACATAAAGTCAGGCAAGGGGAGAAAATAAAGATGACTCACAACCTTGAAAAAAAGGGAAAACCTTAACTCCTAAATAATTTTCAATGTATATCCATGTATGTAACACCATATAATAGTAATACAAATAAAACAGAGCTTGTAAAGCGCTTTCCACTGAAGTCTGTAAGCGCTATAACAAACAAAATAGAAAGATAAACAGTTACATTTTAAACAAAACAAAAAATTACAAATGAGTATCATTTTACCTGATTGTTCACAAATGTTCATAATCTTATCCAGAAACTAAAATGATCAGGTTTGGGATTTTATTAATTATAAAATGCACATTACCTTAGAATTGCCTAGTAGTAGGTTGACAAAATTGGTGGTTTATAAGTTCACCAAAAAAAAGCATATTCCTTATAATCTGAAGGAGTTTATAGGAGTGTCATACATGTATGTTTGAATGTAGTCGAAAGCTCACCACAACAGATAAATTTGAAAGCTATTTATCATGGGTTTCACTCATATTTCAAAGTATCAACAACAACAAGTTTCAGTCCATCATACTGAAAACGTACATGTAATGATATACTGCACTTGCTTCTCTCCACCCAGGTGTTAAATGGGTACCTGGTAGGATGTGACCATCATTGTTGGTCAAACAGTTTTTGAGCGTCGAGTAACGCCTGGCTGGAATGCTCCCCAGGGAGTGGAGGTTGTGCACACAGTGTGTGCGGGCAAGCACTGAATCCAATGACCGGGGTAATAGTATATTTGCAAAGCGCTTAGAGACATTGTATTAAGCGTTATATATAAAAACTAAATATTAAATATTACTGAACCTAATGGTCAATGATTGTTTAATCAAGTATTTTAGGATCATATTAATGATGAAAAATGCAAGCCTTCCACAATTTGCTAGACTGCCACCTATTTGCAAGCAAATTGATCTCTTCTGGTTAAAGTACCCGATGCAAGAACAGACTAGTTGAAAGACAGAGTAGAGTACTCGAACAGAAAATGCAACTTGATACAAATATTATATACATCATGTCTCAAATCAAGATTCACACCACATTGACAAGTTCAGAGTCAATCCATTGCTCCTTCTTTCCAGAAAATTTCTTGTCAGTAAATTTCTTGTCAGTAAGAGGGTTTCCTTGGAGGTGGACTAGGTGGTTTCATGGCCTTTTTTGATCTGTCGATCACGGCATGAGGCATCGTCGATGTCGTTGATGTTGTCGTTGGCACATGGTAATGCTGCGTGTCTCGAAACTCCTGACTGATCAAGGATGGGTACCCTAGTTGTTCCCTGGTGGCATAGGGATTCCCATTGGCCAGGGGTTTGTAGGGTTGGTGATTGATCTGTGGCTGATGATTGCTGTACTGTTGTTGGTAATGCTCATCGTTTGCTGCATGACTGTTGATATTCGATGAGATCTTACAACCATTCAGAGCTGGCATACTACAGCTGAGACTGTTGGGCATTTCAATTTTCACCCGGACATTTGCCTCCATCGGTTGATTGTTTTCATCTTGGAAGGATGTTGTCCCACCAAGGAACTGTCCCTTCTTGGCCATGTATGCCTCGATGTTCTCATATTCACAGTCCCTGCTGAATCGGTAGGTGAAGGAATCTGAGAAGCGCCTGGATGATCGGCTGTTCCTGTTTGAAGGCCTACTGACAGATCTCATAGTAACTGATTTCTGAGGATCCATGGAAGGAGATATTTGGTGAGTCAGTCTAAACTGATGCTTTGCAGAAGATGTCTTACGTTTCGTGACGCAGAGCGCAAATATGACTGCAAGGAGAAACAGAATAATTACACCAAGTGCAGGCCCAATCAAGATACTTATATTCTTTAGGGCTGGATTGCTAGATTTTGATGGGCTGAGCGATTCATCTGGTGACACAGGTTGTGGCTGTATCACATTTGGCTTCTCGCCTATCTCGCCTATCTCGCCTATCTCAACTTTCTCACCTTTTGCAATGGCATTCACGACAGGCGTTGTGATCATCTTATGCAAGAAGGCTATCGTAGCTGTTGCATTGGCTTTGACATTCCATTCCGTTGTAACCTGACACACAATATTCAGCATTTCGCCCCAATTTCCTGTGATACCCTTTAGAATAATAGTTCTTCCATTCCTCACAAATTGGATGCCAGCAACTTCAAGTTCTACAGGGATATCCCAAGTGTAATCAATGGCAACAGCTATATCTTCATGACTGCAAGTGAAGTTAACGGTGTCTCCATTGGAGACGTCGATGATAGGCGGTGTTATGGTGGCTTTATGTGATGTAGCACGTGCTATCAGTGCGCATCTGTTGGGAAACTGTTGAAGCATTGAACTGTTTACAGCACAGTAAACGGTTTCTTGGTTCTCCATAGTCGATGATTCAGACAAGAGAGTTGTCTTGTTCTGCAGGAAGAACGCGTGGAGGACGTGTCTGCTTGCTGTCCAGCTGTGGTAAACTGTTTCATTGGTGGCAACGTTGGAACTGACACTTCTCCAGAAGGAATCTGTTGACTTGGGACACCTGAGAGCTCTGTCCCCTTGAGGACTAAGAATGATGTTGGATTGGGTGAACATGGTGCAAGGCTTGTACCCATGTGTCGGAGGAGTTAGGACAGTCAAGCTGGCGTTGTCCGATGCTTCCTGTGGGCCATTCCTAGACTGCTTCAAGAGACACTGATACAGGCCTCCATCACCTTCCGAAACATTCCTAATCACAAGTGAGTATACTCCCCTGTACTTGTCCAGGAGTACACTATAGCGATCGCTTTCGGGATCAGGAGCAGTGATCATCAGGTTCTTGCTGAGGACCACGTTCCTGTCCACCCTGTACCACCAGAACTTGTGTTCTCCAGGATTGCTGATGTTACGTCCATTCACAAAACAGTTCAGCATGACAAGGTTACCTCGAAGGGCAATAATTTCACCCGGTTTCATACGCCAAGTCAATTTTCCAGATGCATTCTGACAGAAGTATACCAGAACAAGAAGCAAGAGAGATGTCAATAGCTTCATCTTGCTTTGTGGGGTCAAAAATGTTATTCTTAAAACTCTTCAGGCTCCTAAAAATGTTATAGTCATCAGTAAGTGGCTTCACAATCCGAATCCGGGGTAGCGAAGTGAGTTTAATCAAAAGTAGACTAAAAAATTGTTGCACAAGTTTGAAACCACAGCTTCGTGAATTTCAATATGAACTTTGTAAAATCAACACATGGATTCATACGAGAAAAAGTTTCAAAACAGCCAGTCACTGTTCATTAAATAAGAAGTAATCCTGAATAAGATTGGCAGTAGTCATCATCACATTCAGGTGATCCAAAGTTCAAGCGTCCCATTCAAATGCTTGCACTGAAGTAAACTTCTGTGATATCTTCTTTTACAATATGCTTTAGGAGTGTTTCCACAAATCTATTATCGTCAGCTTAGTCCTAGTTGCATTTCCTGATGCGATGTAGACCCCCTTGCGAGAATACCAGACTGTAACTAAAAGAGCAGACGTTTCTCTCTGGGTAGCGTGTCCCAGTCGCTTGTAGCTCTTCCTGTACTTCTGATCAAGTCTACAACTTGTCAAAGGGCAGGGTTTGTGCCGAGCGAGCTCATTCATTTGTCGGTGAAGTTGGAAAGGGGGCTGGCCGAGCTATCAGGGGGAGGGGTCTGTGTGATCAACAAACTGAGCTTGAGTGAGTAGGCCAACAGACAGTTTTTCACTGGCCAGTCATAGATGGATGGATATTACAATTGATATTGGGTCAATTGGACATAAGCTCCTTGCTTCGTTTCATGGTCTTTTTTAACCCTTCGGTTACTGTCATCACAATTTATATTACAAAGTCTCATAGAGAGATACATACATGTATGTTGTATAGAATTATTTAACATCTGTAGTTTATTATAAATCATTTTTATGAATTAACTTTCAAGTGTCCTTAAATTAACCTTCTTAAAATATAGTATTAATTTATAATAGTGATTTAAGTTTTGTTTTTCTTGTCTAGTTATTTGTGTTATATGTGTTTATCAACAGAACTATGATGTACATTTGTATTGTTTTTTTAAATAATTCTAGTCAGAATTTTACTTCTACTTTTCTACAATTTATTTCCATATAAATTTGTAGTCATTTGTCAATTTCTTGTCCATCTCACTCACTTTTTGAATATCATCTTTCGTGGCTATTATCCTTTCCCGTTCAACATAAATCCATTTGTATCTCATAATCTCATTGTAGTTTTGTGCAATGGAATCTACATTAATGACTGAGCAGGTTCAATATTTAATTAAGTTGCATATATTCTGCTAAGACAGACATTAACATATATGTATATTTATACCCTTCTGGGTCTCAACAGACGATATGTTGGCTATAAACCCATTGCCTACAGGAACCGGGCGGTCCCTGTATTAAGCCTATGGGGACTAGAGAATTCAACAGTCAATGGGTTAAAAGTAGATATACAAAAGTGCAAACTTGTCCTTGATGATGAAGCATCGCAGCTTCCCAGGAAACGCAACAAGCAATGGAAGTGGCCTCACCATGCTTGGGGGACCGGCTGAGAGTTCGCTGGTGTGTCATGCACGTCGCAACCTAAGTGCAATGAACAATGCTGTCGTGATTGGAAAAGGAAGCGTCCAATTACAACCGATCGCTGATCACCCTAGACCTACTCTGCAAGTTTACAATTGCTTTTATTGGTTGTGGGCTTCCTCGCCAGAAGGTGTTGAATTATTGCCATGGCCAAAATCCAGGAAAACTTAGCAAAGACAATTAAGGCTAATTTTCTCAGTGAATTGGGCGCAGACCAAGCTTGTTAAGTGGTTAATTCCCCTAAACACACGGCTATTGGCATATTAACCCTAATGAAATTAGTTGTGTCAAAACTTTTCTTTAGTTCAGGAAGTCCAACCCTCTGGGTTCTTTTAATTCTTTCATTCATTATTGCTTAGTGATTTATAACCAATTAACCAGTGTCAACAACTTTTTTGTTTTGAGAATTGCCTCTTTCTTGATGACTTTTCCTTATTAAAGAGGTGATTTATCTTTTGTTATCCATGACTGATTCTATTTCATGTCTAAAGTAAATTGCATGTGAACTAGTAGATGAGAGTTTGCGTGAGTGTTCATTTCTAATAAAAAATCAAGACAAAGAGAGATGGATCATCATGGTCATATGAATGCAACAAAGAATTTAACATGAACAAATATGTAAAGACAATGTTTTTAAATGACACACAAGGATGAGTTGCTTTTTTATTATGCCCTTGAAACTACTTTTTCAGGACATTCTGAGATTCCTTTGAATTTTACGACTTATTGTGTGGCAGGATGTGAGAGCATTTCTGGGAATGAGTCGGCATGAAACGGTCAGGAGTAAAATGAGTTTGTAGGGTATGATTGTAGTCACTGTAGGTTCATGTGGCAGTCTGTAAACTTAAAGTTAAGTCATGCATGGTTTTAAACGCTGAGGTTATCGTCTTGTTATGGACCATGTACACTGTAGACGCACTCTTGGTTAGGAATCTCAAAGTTTTATACTTGAAGTTGAAATGTACGAGCGATCTTTAGGCTAGCGTGATGGAAAGTACGTGCAGACGCACTCAACTTAGAGATAATATCAGCTTGTCGTTAAAATGACCACTTGACCAGCTTGTAGTTTAGTTGATCACTTTGAATACTTGTTTTTAATCCTGTTTGAATTCTTGTAGTGGTTAATGGAGCTTAGTTTATTTATAATAACTTTGAGGTTTCACAAACTTTGAAAGTTTAAAAACTATGATGGTCCCGTTTGAATATATACCTAATTGTGTCTCTATAAATGTAGGTGGATCATATGAATGGCCTGCAGACATTAGCTGGATGTTTGATACATGTGTGATAGATGAAATGCTTCCTTTTGTATATGATGATGCCATGGCTTGGGATTCAGAGCCATATGACTGAGCTGTGAATTTCATTTATACATGTTTCTAACTTTCTAATCTTAACCTCAGGCTCCACACTAACTTTGTTTTGGAAGGGGGTCCAGATATATCTTATTAGAGAATGCATGCACTTGGCCTATTGTTCAGTATGTAAATTATTTGAAATTTGGGGGGGGGGGGGCGGATTTAGATTGTGGGTGCCCATACATGTACAGTATGTCCAAGGTGCCTGTTTAGTGTCGAGCCCTGCAGTGCTAATCCCTGGTTACGAGCCATTATTTGAACCTGCTATGAATAATTTGTTGATCAGATTTTTCATATTGACTTATCTTTGTTGATATGTGATCATGAATTAATATCACTAATGGTATTACAAATTCAAAATGTAAAAGTCACCCTTAAAATATCTCAAGGCGTGAATTACCAGAATGACCCAAATTTGGGCAGTTTTAAATGTGTCATCGTTGTAGACGATTAATCTGTCATTGTTAACCCCTTTCTGACAATGATAGTCTGACAGATGTAGCACTTGACTATATATTCTCTATGATTCAGTTGTAAGGGAGCCAGAATTAATCATCCTTCTCTATATGACATTGGCAAATTCAGGGGGTTAATGATCTTAATCTGGGCACGATTAAGGGCAATGTTGTACCCTCTCGATGCAAAGTTCCTAAAATTTAATGATAACCAATTATTCTCCAGTGAAAATGTTATTCTCAATTATATACCTGACCGTGCCTACCACACGTACTTAAAGAGTCTGGCAGGGCTGGGGCAAGATTTTCAAATATTTTGTTGTGGTGCCCCTACCCCCCCCCCCCTCTCAAACCAAGGAATTACTAGCACTTGCTCAAACTCAAATTGAAAATAGTCTAAATCTGCCACTGGCTGGTTGATACCCCGGGAGAGATACTGTCTCCTGACAGTCACACGTTACTGAAATTGACCTAAAACAACAACAACAACAAAATTGAGATTATGACCTAAAAAGTAAAAACTGACTGCTTAATAGTACCTCCAAAACAGTGCCATGTGGAGTACAGCTGATACTTTCATTCGTCTGTAGACTTCCTTCCCTTTGAACTCTGTGGCAGCACTGAATCTGATGAAATCCTTTGAATTTTGGAGTTGATGTCGGATGTGATTTAGCATTACGCATGAAAGTATCTTGAGGTGGTTGATGATGTCACTTTGTTTTGATGAGAAGTCTTATGAAGGGCTTCTCATTAGGGTAGAGATGTAGAATCCCATGGTTTGTTGTAAGGTCCCTTCTATGGAAGTACAGTATACATAGCAAGATGAGTATTGGTTAGAGTTCAATACAAGAACATTGCTCATGGACATTGGCCAGCTGTGTGAAATTAATTCTTTTGCCATTTTCCTGCCATATGAAAAGAGAAATTCATCCTAAAATAACTACTTACCATAATGATAACTTGTAAAATTAATTATTTTGCTATCTTTCTGCTATATCAAAAAAAGAAATTCATCCTAAATAATTTATTTCTATTATGATGACTAGTAATAAATCTGAACTAAATGGAAAATAAATTAAAAACACTTCTAACTTGTAAACTAGTAAAAGTAGCTATCACTGTCTTTCTCTCTATCTTTTCACTCTATAATATAATGACCATACAATTAATTTTCATCAATTAATTGTAGCCTAGAAAACATGTGCTACATGTAGTATCCTTATTGCTAGAAATTGAGTGTTAATATGATGAAAATCTGATTTAAGGCTTTATTCCTTTAATTGATTTATCTTAGATGAAATTGCTAGTGATTGTTACCTTAAACTGACTGCTAGAACCTCCAAAAAGTGCCATGTGGAGTACAGCTGATACTTTCATTCGTCTGTAGACTTCCTTCCCTTTGAACCCTGTGGCAGCACGGAATCTGATGAAATCCTTTGAATTTTGGAGTTTGATGTCGGATGTGATTTAGCATTACGCATGAAGTTATCTTGAGGTGGTAGATGATGTCACTTTGTTTTGAAGAAAAGTCTTATGATGGGCTTCTCATTAGGGTAGAGGTATAGAATCCCATGGCTTGTATAAGGTCCTTTTTTTTAATGTAAGTATTGTATTGGTGGAGCATTGGTTAAATTCTTTCGCCATTTTCCTGCCATAGGATATAGAGAAATTCATCCTAAAATAACTTATTACAATTATGATGTTTTACATCAAGATTGCTAAATATAGAACTTCATTTGCTATTTGCCATTGTGTTTATCACCAACCTATTACTTCAATAATTTATACTTTTAGACATGAGAGTCAAATTAATTTGTGAGTGATAGCATTATGTCAAAGATAATTGAAAAAAGTACAAGCTATTGAACAAGTGCAGTGGCTGTACTTGTTTACCAAATTGAGTTATTCTGTTTTTCTCTGAAATCTAATTTGGCCATTTCCATCTGGAACTGAATTGAATGAACAATCTGGCAAAGCGTTAATTAATGCACGCTTTCTAAACTATATATCGAGTACAAAATAAATATACTTTTATCAGTTTGTCCATGTTTGATTTGTATATATCTACACAGGTTTTTATTTCATGAAGTACACTCTTTTGTTTTTGTCAGTTTGTTTCTTGTCACAGAATTATATTGCTATTAAGTGCTGAACATGATATATTGATTTAATTCCTTTGTGTTTTTGAATGATTCATGCAGGCTAAGACTCCATGACAAATCTTCATTTATTTAGTACTATTTTTGTAATCTCATGAATCAGATGAAGAATGTGTAGTTTTTAAATTAATTTCTGACATTAAAAAAAATAATTCTTCAGGGCAATTAAATTGTGTCAGTTACCAGTTTCTCCATTTTGTACTAGGTATTACAAAAAAAATAGTTGAAATATAATACCTCACACCTGTTTCCTTGATAGATACATTATGGAATATATCGCATGTTTGGAGCTAGAAGGGCATTAAGACATATCATTTCACACAGAGTCCATACATACCCTTCTGGCTGTAAACAGACAACAGTTTGTTTACAGATCCATTTTCTGAAACACTAAAACAGACCTATTCGGTCATCAACCATACACCTCCCCTTTAAAGTGCATTGTCCTAAAGATTGGCCGTAAATAGCAATTAACACTCTATTTCTGTTCGCTCACTCACATTGAATTCCTGCTTGTATTAATTAGACATGTAATTGATTGGTCATGGGACCAAAGCAGCTTATGATGATCACTATGCGTGAGGATTAGAGGATATTTGAGGATTAATTGACAATTCTAATGGTTGTGATTATTAGGCCTGAGTCATCACGGGTTTTGCCGAACCCGGGTTTGACTTGAAAATTTCGGGCGGGGACCGGGTACCCGAAATTTTCACCACTGCACTGACACTAAAAATCGTGTGCATGCAGCGGCGGGAGTTAGACTAAGTTGCTGTTCTAATAATGCGACGGAAAAGACAGTTACTGCTTTCAAAACAATAAAATAATCAATGGAATTAAATTAAGATGCTTTAAAAAATAAATGGATATCGTTTCAGTTGACGGTAGGTGTTTTTATCGCTCTAAAATTGAGGCTGCAAGAAAGGAATCACGCTTCGTGGTACCGATCGGGTGCGTTCAGAAACGGAAGTGGAAATAGATCTATGACCCACTGAAGACAGAGCAAG